GGAGGGGGCGGGGGGTGCCACCCCATCACGAAGGGGTTTGGACCCTACCGGGGCGGGCGCGTGGGCCGAGCGAGGAAATTGATTTGTTTGTTGAAATAACCAGAGGACACGCTGAGCGCGGGTGCGCGTCCCCTCCCTGCTGCCCAGAGAGCCTCGCGCTCACACGGCCACCTCCCCGCGACAAAGGGCACGACCCGCGAGCCAGCCACACACCGCCGCACCGCGCAAACCACTTCGACAGCTCACGCTCACGTAACGCACTGCTGTGTAAATTTCCGCTCTCTTTCTCTCTCTCGGTGGCCGCGCCATTCCTTTTCAAACAAAAGGAATGCAAGAGTAGCCATTCGTTTGGTGTGTGTGTGTGTGTGTGTGTGGGTGTGTGGGTGTGTGGGTTGCGAGCGGTGCGAGCGGGCAGGCGCTGGCGGCAGCCAGCAGCGGGTCTCTAGTGGCGAGCTAGCGAGAGAGCAGCAGAGCGGGACGCCCGCGAGCGGCAGGTTAGGCAGAGCCGCACAGCGCCCGCGCGCCAAGGGCCAGAGCGCTGCCTACCTCCACGGCGCTCGCGGCCCGCCCCGACAGCTACTCGGCACTCTCTGCTTGACTTGACTTTCTTGGGCACAGCGGCCGCATAGAAATCTCTCTTCTTGATCCCGCGGGGGGAGGGGGCCAGAAAGAGGGAAAATTCCGTTGGTCGCACAAAGTGTGGAAGGTGTGATTGTGTGAGAGAGAGGTATTGCCAAGAGAGAAATCCGCTTTTCTTCCTCTGCCTGCTCCCTCAAGCCGTGTAGGATCAGCGGCAGAGGAGAGGGTGAGGGGGGCGAAGGGCGCTGCCCCTTTTGCAGCTGCTGCTGAAGCCACCGCCGGCGCCGCCGCCGCCTGGAGCGAAAATTGGCGTTCGGCTAAGAGAGGCGAGCGCGCTGGAGAAGAGAGAACACAGAGAAAGGGAAGGAGGGGGGAGGGGGAGGGAGGGAGAAGCGCGTAAGACGAAAACCAACTAAGTCGGCCAGAACGAGTGTGAGCGGGGGGCCGCCCCCGGGCCATAGAGGCGTCCTCAGCACGCCCCTCGCCAACGCTCGGTCGGTGGGGACCTATACGTTAGAGACGCGGGGCCGCCGGCAGCGACAGGCGCCACCTGCAGGAGCGCCCCACGCCTCCGCGCCTCGCCCCGCCTCGCCCCGCCCCACCCGCATGTGCCCTAATAATACTTCCGCACTCCCGGCCTGCTATGCCGTGCACTTGCCTCCCACACCCACCTACAACCAGGCCGCCTCCTACTACATTCCTCTCTCTCACTGCGAATGTGAGCAATACACCAGGACGGGGGGCAAAGTGGGCATTCGTGCTCGTGAAATGAAAGCCTTCTCCTCGCCTCGCTCGCCCTCCCCACCGCCGCCACCATCACCACCACTAGCGGCAGCGTCGGCGCGCGCTCGGAACGGGCTCGCCCTCGCCCTTTTTGTGCGTCCCAAAGAGACCAATCGGGAAGGGATTCATCACACCGGACCGCTGTCATCTCTTACGGTCGGTCAGGGGGAGAAAGGGAGAAGGAGAGAGATGGGAGACGCGAAGGGGTTTAGGAGGGACGGAGAGAGAGAGAGAGAGAGAGAGAGAGAGAGAGAGAGAGAGAGAGAGAGAGGAGGAGGGAGACGATGATAGATAGATAGCCAGCCAGGCGCGTACTAGCTTAATGGCTTGGCTGACATGGTTCGAGGAGAGAACAAGCTGAGGTGAGTTTTCGCGAGAGCAGTAGTAGCCGCGGGCTGGCTGCGCGCGGAGCGGGCGGGGCGGGGGGAGGGGTTGTTCCCCCGCCCACTCCCCGCCACCCCTTTGCCGCGGCAAGGCAAGGCAAGGCAAGGCACGGCACGGCCGAACACCCCACCCACCCGACCGCCCGCGGGGGGCCGCCGGGCCGGTCCAGCGCGCGCCAGCCCCAGCATCCCGCGCCAGACCGCATCCTGCCGCGGGGCCGAGCGCACAGCACGCGCCCGCCCCGAGCGTCCTGCCGCCCGCCGCCTCTCCTCCGCCTCCGCGTACGCCACTGCGGCGTCCTCGGGGTGGAGGAGGAGGGGGAGGAGGCGCGCGAGCGGGCGGCGCGCACACGACCTGCAGCAGTCTTGAGGACGAAGAGCAAGGCGAGCGGAGCGCCGGCGAGGACGTCTTCGGTGGGAGGTCGTCGTCGGCCCGCAGGAGGAGAGACACCTGTTCACCCACTGGGTGAGTAGTTGCGGCGCCCTCCCCGGCGGCACAAGTGTCGAGACATTGCAAATGTTCGGTGATCCAACGGTGACTAGAGAATTTTGGCAAATAAAATTATTTAGCGGTGTGTTTCTTTTTAAGGAGAATAATAACTGTAGGGACTCTGGGATCTGGAAACTTGCAGGACCAATACATTTTTGGTAAATCCATAACTAGTAAAGTAGAGATTTTGAACTTATTTTCTGACAAGGTGGATAGTGAGAGACTGACAATAGTCAATGGATATACTAGCTTGGCGCTGCATAAGCAAATTCTTTGCGGAAATAGTAGAGATAGTTCAGAGAAAAAATTGCGATACTAAATTATATTCTACCTTAAACTATGGAGGTAGTCATGCACAATGTCAAATTATGGCAAAGTTCTAGCTGCGCAAGAAATGCCAATACTATGTATTTGTTGTGAATTTCTCTCGGAAAAATAAACTCTCTACAAAATCAATTTATAGATTATAACCAGCAGAAAAAAAAGCTTGTTTGTTTTTTATTCAGTTGTAAAAAATATAAGGAATACTAAAAAATGACAACATTGCGATGATGTCAAATGAAAACAGTTTAGAAAAGATGTACCTGTAGTAGCAGAGAGGAGCTACAATGAAATCAGAAAACTACCAAGAAGCAGTTAGAATGGTATGAAGAAGCCACACTTTTCTACACTACTCAGGTCAAGCTTCATGCTGATAACTAGCAAGCTCCCAGTCACTCGCTACCTCCAGCCTGATTTATTCTCATCTCCAAGTTTGAAAGATTAGTTTATTTTCTGCCAACACGAATTAATAGGTTGTCTTGTCCTAAATTATATATTTTAATTTAGATGGGTACCGAGGATTAGCCACATGGAAATGTGTAAAAAGAGTGGCAATGTCCAGGACAACACATAGCCATAACCTTGTAAGGGTGGAAAATGTTTTATTTATTTCAAGTACACGTTACAAATCAAAACTGAAATACATATAAATAAAAAATATTGACACAAACTAGGAGCAACCTTCATCATTACTTCATTTGTGTGACTGTGGTAAGAATGGTGCACCCGGGCAACTTGTCATTTCTATACGCACTTTCATAGGCAGGCGGGCAGCCAGGCAAGCAACAAGGAATGAACGGTTGACTTCCTTAAAAATGCGTCTGCAGAACAGGGTCTGTTTGCCAATCTGTGGCTGCACTGAGGCAGTAGCACCTTGCTCAAGCTTGGTGGAAGATTGCATTGAAGTAAATAATTCAAAGAACAAAGCAGAGACCCAAGAGAAGATAATTCTAAACTTTTTTGTGAAAAAGACGCCTGATGAGCAATCTGCGTGCTGCTTGCAAAACATTAATTTCTATAAGTTTACAGAGTTGAAATATGCGCAATACCTCAGCTCTTTTTATAATTTCTGAAAGGCTTGAATATAGTGACAGCTAAATCAAACTATAACTATAAATAAACTGTTGGCAGCACAGGGCTGGAGTAGAGAAGAAGAACAAACAACAATAACAAGATTTCTGAGTACACGAAAAACTGAAGCTACTTGATGGCGAAAGCAGTGATTGTCTCTCTGCTCCCTGAACAGGCAGCTACAGGGACAGTGTCATGCTCTACAAATCCCACAAATGCAGGCTTGCCAGACTCTTACCACCCACTCTGAGGAAAGTACAATGCCAAAATAAAATGATTTGCATTCTCTTCTGTGCCAGATAAGATGATATCTTTCCATTGCTACCACACCGCAGTCACTAACAATCAGGGTTCCATGACAAGAAGACAGGATTACTGTTGCATGAAGTACAACAAAGAACTAGTCAAGGGGCTAATCTAAAGAGGTTGACATCATTCCAAAGTCTTGCATTTTTCTTGGGTGGAATATCCATAAAGGGACATATAATTAATCTAGGACTAACAAAAATTCATTTCATCCAGCAACACTATAAATAAATCTCTGATTCGCTTATCCTATGGAATATGGTACATTTTGTCAAGAGCCCAATAGAAAGTAAAGATAATAAGTAAATAAAAATAAGTCAAGTATAATAAATAGTGTGGGTTGTTGTTCTACACGACGCGGAGTTTTCATAAAAATGACAATAATTAATAACAATACTGGCTCAATAAAACCTGCCAGAAACTTACATTTAAATAGTATTGTAACTAAATTCAGAAGATATAAAGGTCCCAAGATGTGTGAAATACTTTCTCTGATTACAGGCATGATGAAACTTTGACTGTTCTCTCACTGGCCTCAACATATCAGGCAGCAAAACTGCTTCCTGCCAGCAGGAAGGGCAACGATCATGCAGGTAATCAAACAGTCGTTTTCTTGATAAAAACTAATGAGTCATGGCTAAATTATCTTTCATATTTGAGCTTGGCAGATTTTATTGCATTCTTTGACTATGTTAAAATGGAATGGAATACCTTGTTGCCTTGTGAAATTCGAACCTAGTAAACTGTCCATCTCTTTACAAAACTCAACAACTGATGCCAGTCTATCACATATTTTTGCTTAAATCAAAATCAGCCTTATTTATTAAATGCAAGTAAGCAAACAGAACATTTTTGTCTTTTGCAAAACTGCTAGAAACCATAAATACTGCTTTAATACTCCAGGTCAGCAGTATTGTAAATGAATAGTCCGACTTTTGCACAGTTTGAGTGCAGTATTCAGTGGTGCGAATAGAAGTACGTATTGACTTGAAACTACCCAATTTTTTTCAGGACGGTATTATTGTTGGACTCTAAACTCTAGACTTCTGATGAAGCTTATTTGGGCAAATTAAATGGCAGTACCATGCTCCAAAAGAAGAAAACAGCATCACTCACAAATAAACTTTCTTCAAAACATAAAATTTTAAATGCATTAACTTAAAGATAAATTGGTGTTTTGAATTAATGTATGTTGCATACAAATAGACCAACGTTGAGTCAAATTAAAAACAATCCAAATGAATCATATCAAAAACTTGTAAAAATGAGCAATTTGAATACGTATTCAACTTAAAAGCTCTCAGACTTGAGTAATCCAGCCTGTTGCGGGCTATCTGAATTGGCGTCAGCATCCACTTCTGGATCGTTGTCACTGCCCAAGTCATCATAATACTCAACATGCTGTGTTGTGGTTGGCAGAGACAGGGCAGGAGTCTCACTCACCTGTGAGTGGGAAGCAGACTGCGACACACTATCTGGGATGGGCAGGGGTTTGGCAACTCCAATGCGCACAACTCCTTTTGGCGCTCCTTTGAGGGCTTGAACAGCTTGATCCAAAGATGCATTTTCCAGCACAGTGTTGTTTACAAACAGAAGTCGATCTCCAGGAATGAGCCGACCATCCATTTGGGCCACACCTCCAGGTACCAAAGATCTGATGACAATTACAGTTTCGCTCGGGTTCATTGGGTCCTGTAAGAAGAAAGAAAAACATGTTGTATTAAACACTTTATTTTTGTAAGATTTTTTAAAAGTACTGTATATCTGGAAATAAATGTGAAATAAAAACCAAGGGAGTGCTTGTGTATACTGTGAGAGGTAAGTGATCCAACCCTCCAAACCCCAAACACAAAACAACATTTTATCTAAATTATGTAAAAATAAAATTTTAAATTTATAGTAAGTGGTGCACAAGTGTAGAAGGAAATACAAGAGATATGACCAAATGAATCATTGGTAGGTCTGATTTGGATTTTGAATAACTTAAATTTGACACCCTCTGTGTTGAGGGTGTAGGATATAGATAAGCAATGAAAATAAATAGTATTTGTAGTAAAATGGAAAAGTTACGCAAATGAAGCAATAGATTACTTTTAAAATACGTAGAAAAAGGGGGTTTGACAAACTCTGTGCGGCAAGGCCACAACAATATCCTATCCTGCTTTCCTGTTTCTCCCAAGTTTTTAATTGAAGCGTTGCACCAAAGATGTTAATGTATAAAAACAGTAAGAGGAAAAAATACAGAAGGATCAGATTTCTTAGGTTTAGTCAAACACCTATTAGGTTTTTAGGGCACTAATATAAGCCCCTCTAAATCAGAAATCTTCAACGATCTATGAAATTTTTTAATAAAAGTAGGATCCTACTGGCAGGAGAGAAATGAATTTTCTTGCCAGTATTAGCAATGGGCAACCAAATACCGAAAGGCGGGTGAGTAAAAGAGTTGTGTATATTTCACCAAGTTTTTTGTGAAAAGGGGTCATAATATGACAGAGATGATTTGGATGATTTTGTTGTAGATGGTATGATAGTAGTACACTGAGAAGATAATTTAATAATGAGAGGTGTTTCAATTTCATTTCCACAAACATGATAATTTTTGATAAGTACAGGCTTGACAGGTTCTAGATATTTTTTTAAAATGATTACTGGGGAAAAAACAACAACATTATATGCTTTGGATGTTTAGTATGAGAAAACGTAAAACTTGTATGAAAAACTTTTATGATGAGTTTTGAACAAATAATGTTTTGGGTATGCAAAAAGTAAACTGATGTGATATTGTGATGTAAAGAAATGTGTTCGTTGCCTACAGTTTCTTTTAGATGTAAATATAGAATGAATGTGACTGTGCCTGCCACCTTCCTCTCACCTGGTAGTCTAGAATGGAGAAGCCCAGGCCACGTTCACCTTTAGTGAGCTCAATAATTTGTGGTTCTGAGCTCCACATGGCCAAACCAGTGAGTGGTTCGAGTGATCTCGACTTCATCTTGGAGAAGCTGGCGTCCGTAGCTGTTGCCGTTGTTGTGGTCGACGCCAGAGAGCCGTCCGATTTTGCTTTTACCAGGCGTTCCGTCGCGGGGATCAGATTCTGCAGCGATCCTCCCAATAAACTCTGTACAGAAGGAGAAAGTAGAAAGCGTTAGTGTCGCAGCCCGCGAGAGAAAAATGCTTCAATGCTGAATCGGGGATTAAGAAAACCACGTGGACAGGCGTGGTGTTGTTTTCTTTTCGCGGGCTAATTGTTATATCCGGTTACATCTGAACCACGAAAGCAACAAAAAGTACCCTATCGCACTTGGTCGTGAAGAAACAACCCCCGTCCATCTCTGAGGCGACACTCACCCTGGCCGCGAACGCTGCCCGGTCCTGCGAGGTGTCGATGAGCCGGTAGGGCGGCGCCTCGCCGTCGCGCCGCGCGCACACCATGCGCACGCTCACCGGCAGGTCCTTGAGGATGCTCACCACCTCGATGTGGTTCATGCCGAGCAGGCGGTGGCCGTTCACCTCGAGCAGCTCGTCGCCGGAGCGCAGCAGGCCGTTGGAGCCGACGGGGCCCTCGGGCAGGATGGAGCGGATGTAGTGGTGGGGGCGCACTTCCTGCCCGTCCTCCACGTCCACCGTGCCCTCCAGGCTGATGCCCAGGCCGCCACCCTCGCCGAACTTGCACAGCTGCGCCACCTGGAACGGGAAAACAGACGGAGAGGTCAGACAGCTGCAGGTGGTAGGGGCAGATGGGGGAGAACAGAGGGGTACTTCACTATCAATTCAAGCGTACACCAATTTTTCTATTTTTTCATGTTTTTTC